CCCGGAGGGAACGTTCTAGAGCAAAGGCTGCGATGCCTAATGCTGAGAGCCAGGCCTGAGGTAGGAGCCTCAGCGGCAGGTGCCCGCCCCGACGTGCACACGCCCACCGGGCTCAGAGCACGGGGAGGGCAGCTGGAGGTTGCCTAGGTCTGCTAGTGCCCCGGTGCCCCTGGCCCAAGAGGGGAACAGTCCCGGCTCCTCCACATCGGCCTTGGGGGGTGGGGGGGCAGAGCGAGGGAGGGGCCTGGGGACCAGTGATCCTGGGACAGCCCTGGCCGCGTCTGCATCTGGCTGGGGGTCCCAGCCCGCCCCTTCTGTAGCAGGGCCCCGTGACCGGGGCTCACGGTCATCGGGGGAGGGGACCCTGGCAGATCCCGCGGGTGAGCCCAGCTAGGAGCGCGGGTGGCCGCTGGAACCGCAGCCGCACCCGGGTCTACGCAGCTCAGGCCAGAGCAGGCGGGGCAGAGCCGCCGGGGCAGCCGCGCGCCCGCCCGGCCCGGGCAGCGCTTTCTGGAAGGGGCCGCTGGTCCCTGCCCGCCAGTGTCCCCGGCGGCCTCTGTGGCGGGAGCGCGGTGGGGCTGGGGCCCCAGTGCCCACCCGCCGGCCCACGTGACAAGGCTGTCTGGCGCGGGGCGAGCCCGGAGCGGGTGCGGGGCGCAGGCCCCACTCACCTCTGCTGGCGGCGTAGAGAACGCCGAGGGCGCCCAGGGCCCCCGTCAGCAGCAGCAGCAGCAGCGCGCCCTCCAGGAAGCCTGGGCGCCCGCGCCCCGCGGGGCCGGCTCTGTCCATCCCCGCCGCGCTCTCCGGCTTCCCCATCGGCAGGCTCTGCACGGGACAGCGCGGCTGAGCAGCCCGCAGGCCACGGCCGGGGAGACCCGCGCAGATCGGCGCCCTGCCCGAGGCTGGCAGCGCGCTGGGCGCTCCTGGGACGCTCTCTGTCCCATCTCCCTCTCCAAGCCCACAACCCCAGGGCACCTGTGTCTCAGGGCTCTGGACACTACCCCTGGTCGCCTGTGTTGGGAGAAGGCCCGGCCTGCGGGCCATGATGGCCATCTCTTCTTGAGGCCCACCTCTCCCTGATCCCCCTCTCTGGCAGGCAGGGGGTAGTCGGGGCACATTCTGCTCCCAGCTTGGGGTCGTGCCAGCAGGGCAGGCTCGGCTCCTGTGCCGCAGCCCCTGCAGTGGAGCCAGCCTGGGCTACTGGTGCCCAGGGGGTCCTGGAGCTGTGGGCCTGGGCACTGGGTCAGGAACACTGTCTGGGAGGCCACTCAGGCCTCTGGGCACCCTGCCCAGCTTCCTGCTGGAGCCCAGGAGCTGGAGAGGGGGAGACAAAAATGACGGCACCCATGCAAGCAGTGACTGTGTCTGCCCCAAGGCTCAGCCCCGAAGCCGCCTGGTTGGTGTGCAGCTCTGGGGTCCCCTGCTCCTGTGGGCAGGACAGGGAGCTGGGCAGGAAGGCTGGGGGACAGGGACTCTGAGGGCTCCCGGATCTGTGTGTTTTCCTGTGTGCATGTGAGTATACACACGTATGAGTGTGAGCATGTGTGAGTGCACAGGTGTGAGCATGTGAATGTATGTGCATGCGTGTGCACAAGTATGCATGTCGGTGTGCACATGTGAGAGTGCGTGGGGTGTGCATGTGCATGGTGGTGAGTGTGCACGTGTGTATGTGCTCCTGTGTGCATGTGTATGGCTGCATGCGAGTGTGCACATGTGCGAGAGTGCGTGGGGTGTGCATGTGCATGGTGGTGAGTGTGCACGTGTGTATGTGCTCCTGTGTGCATGCGTATGGCTGCATGCGAGTGTGCACATGTGTGTACACGTGCACATCCCTCGCTGGTGCTCGGGGTCCTGCCCCTGGAAGCTGCCGGCACCTGGAGAAACAGCCGGCTGCTCTCCGGTTCCCTGGGCTTCCAGCACTTCCGGTCGTCAAATGCAATCACACACCTGATGTGTTGAGCCCCCACGCGGGCCCCTGCACCAGGCAGGACAGGGCATTTGGGAGAAGGCGGAGGAAGGCAGACCCAGTCTTGCCTTCGGGCAGGTAAGGGTCGGCTGCTGAGACCGAGCGGCAGGGTTAGATGTTCTCACCCGACAGACTCCCGTGGGCTCTGCGTGAGTTCTCTCCCTGACTCGCTGGGAGGTATTAGACGGTCTCTTACTCTGTCTGGCCATCACTTGCCAAATGGCCCAATTTGAGGGGGAAGGAAGCTTAGGAATCACCAGGTCAGTCCCTGCGAAGGCGGCACGGCCAGGTGGTCTCACAATTCCTCCTGCCCCGACCTCTCAGTGTGGTGCAGAGTGGGAACTGGGACCTGGACCTCGCTCCTCCCCTCCTCCCGTCCGGTCCCCACAGCCTCCACCTCTGTCTCCTGGCTCTGAGCTCCCGGGGCCTCCCCTGATTGATGGGGGGGGCTGGCACCTCCCTGGCACCCCCGCTGGCATCGATGTGCCGCTTACACCCTCTGCAGGTCCCTCCAGTAGCCTCTGCCCTTTCCCCAGACAGGCCCATCCTCCCGGTTGCTGAAGCCAAACCTGGAGCCACCTCTGTCCCTTGTTCCACTCCCCACCCTCCAGTCCCAGCCCCGCCCTTTCTCACACCTGCCTCTCACGCCTGCTGCACATCTGTCTCCAACATTGATCCTGAGCTCAGCGGCCCAGGGGCCTTCAGCCAGGACCGCTGTGTGCCCACCCGCCTTGGAGGAGGAGCCTTGCTCTGATCTCAGGGCCCTCTGCGGCCCCCACCCCTGGTCACTGTGTCCCCCCATCCTCCCCTGCCCCACTCTCAGGCAGGACCCTTCCCCATCCCTGCCAAGGTCACCTTCCCAGTGGGGCCTCCCCTGACCGGCCCTCCAGGTTCAACTTGGAGAGCTTCAGCCCCTCCCCTGCTCCGTCTCACCCCGACTGGAGGTGATTCTACTCCTGTTGTCCCTGAGAACGTCAGCTGCACGGGGTCAGGGGCTCCCTCTGTTGGGGTTGCTGTACCTAGACTGGTGCCCCCCGCCACGGAGACATCAGTCAACATCTGTTGGACGAATGAATGAAAGAGGAATGGATGAAAGATGGTGGACGAGTCTGGCCTAGCCTTTGCGGCTCAAGGTTCACTAACGTTGATTAGGATTAATTACTTCACCCATGAATTCTGTTAATTTGTTTTGTTCTGTGGGCTTCCACGGACTTGATGTGCCCCAAAAGCGCGTACACGATAAAACCCCCAAACCGAGCCAAGTGACACAGGGCAGGTGGGCGGCCAAGGCTTCAGCTCCCTGGAGATGCTCCACGGCCTCTCCAGGTCACTACGGAGGGGAGCCGTGCCAGGGGGTGCTGCCTGCCCGGGCACAGGCGAAGCTACACACAGACGCCCGCCCTGTGTGAAGTGGGCTGGGGCTGGGAGGGCGTTTCCGAGGCGCTGCCCAGGGAAGCAGGCCCCTCACTCAGCAAACCTTACCTTCGGTCCCCCCGGGAGTGGCTGCCTGTGAGCAGGTCCCTGCAGGCTGGGTCTAGATGTCCAAGAGCTGGGAGAGCAGGGTGGGCTCCGTCGGGAGAGCAGCGACTTCCAGGCCCCTTTGTGATGCGGGCTCCCTGGAGGCAGGGACTCCTTCCAGTGCTGGGGAGTTCCATGGGGCTTTGCGGGGGGAGGGGCAGAGGGCAGGTGGGGGCAGGGCCCTGCTGAGGGGGTGCCCCTTCCCAGGGCTCCTCTCCTCCCTCACTTCTGTCTCTCGGCCCCTCAGTCAAAGGGGCCCCAGGGGCTGCTGGGAAGGAAGGCCAGACCCTCTGCGCACCTGTCCTGAGAGGCCGGGCGTGGGGTCTCTGCCCCGATCCCCTGGTGAGGGGTTTGCACAGGCCTCTCCCTGGTGTTTCTTCCCTTCGGTCTCTAATGAGGGTGGTGGGTTTGGGGTCTCAACAGGGTGTGAGGGATGGGTGGTCCCTGCTCATCCTGATGGCCCAGGCCTGGGCCCACCTGCTAACCTGCACCCCGTGGCCAGCGCGTCTCCGGGCTCAGCCCCTCTTTCTCCCTCCGCATGTGGGGCTGCTCTGTTCCTGGCTTCTCCCCATGCTGGGTGTGAGTGAGAGGCCTGGCGTCCTGGCCTTGGGCCTGTCAGCCCGGACAAGCTGGAAAGGGGGTCTATGGGCCAAGGAGCCTGCGGCCCCCCAGCCCTGGCCTGGTCCCTGGACCACGGTGGACCCATAGACACCTGGGGCAGTGGACACCCAGCGCCTGCACACACGTGCACGGACTGTGCCCACTGCGGGAGCCCAGCACACCCCGGGGGGTGGGCGTCAATCCTTGCTCCTAGATACGGCTGGGGGAAGTGGGGCTCTTGGTGGGGGCAGTGGGGTGTGGAGCTCTGAGGCCCAGCCTCAGTGCAGGGGTCCGGGAGGCACCTGTGAGAGCAGGGGGGAGGGCTCCCCTTCCCACACTGGACCTGGGACTGGGTGTGTCTGGGGAGAGTTGGCCTCCTTCGTCCATGCTGCTACGGGTGCTGCCCCTGGACGTGACCGCTGGGTCCGCCCCTTCCTGCCCTGTGCCTTGGGCCGGGCTGTCTAGTGGCAGGTGTTCTGCTGCAGCCCAGCACCGCCAGGCAGGTGTGTCCTCTGGGCCTCCGTGGGCAGGAACAAGACCTCTCCCTGGGGATGTCCAGGCACGCTCTGGCGGGCGTCAGGAGCCCACCTGGACAAGACAAACCGGTGGGAAGAGGTGGGCAATGTTTCCGAGGCCCGCGGTGTGCTAGGAGAGCTGGCCCGCGGGATCAGGTCCCGGGTGTCCTGGACGGAAGGGGAGGGGCCAGGCGGTCTCATTGCTCAGGTCTCCGCCATTGAGCCACCAGCCCAGCTCTGAGAGCTGGAGCCTCAGTCCCTCACCTACAAAAAGGGGTTTGGGAGATTTGTCACGTTGTCAAACGAGAGAGAGAACAGGTGCACAGATCAGGCACACAGGTGTGGTCAGGATTTACCTGGGAGAAGGTGGGGGAACCTGTGGAGCTCGGTCGCCTGGGCCGAGGTGGGGGTGACAGGCGGCTGCTGTCACTGATGCCGCCAGTCTGTTTTGAGAGGCTGAGTCTTCCGTCTTTGACTTCGCAACTGCTTCTTCCATGATTCCCTAGAGTTCTTTTTATGTAATTAACTCTGTAACTAATTAACGGTTCTGCCTATTCAGTTCGTGCTGTTCGAATCACTAATGTGGTTTCTGTCCCTCAGTGGACTTTGACTGACACGTACACTGTAGTAGGAGCCGTCCCAGAGACGCCCTCAAAGGTGGGGCTTGGGGGCCGGTTTGGTTGTGTCCAGGGCCAGCTCCTGGCCCGTGGCGGGGAGGCTGGTGGTCCACGGTGTGCGGGGGCTTCTCGAGTAACCAGGCTCTCCCTGGGTCGGCTGCGAGGCACCGACGGAACCGAGGGCTGTGGCTGCAGGAAGGATGGCCCAGAGGCTGGTGGGATCCCCCGGGCATCCCACGGCACCGACTGGAAGGGGCGGCACGTTCAGGTCGTTAACCCTCTGCTCAAGTCACAGCCAGAGAGCCAGAGAGCTGCCACGGCAACGCCGAGGGAGCCCGGGTTTCCTGGAGCCCCGGCGCTGGTGTTGCTAGCAGTCAAGCGCGGTTGACTCTGCGGTTGTGCGAGGACCGTGCAGGCTGCACTCGCAGCCCTGAGAGTTTCTTATGAGAAAGTCGGGGCGGCAAGTGGGAAGGAACTGGGTGCTGGAACGTGGAGTGGGGGTGCCTGGTTGGACTCGGCAGTTGAGAATTGTGAACCCCAAGTTCTCTGAGTCTTCCAGTGGACGTGGCTTGTCCTCCAGTCGCAGGAGACTGGCCTTTC